CGTCCACGAACGCTACTGTGCCTGTGTCTGCCTACGGACCGACCGAATCTACTGCCACCGTCGCGTTTCCTCGCGCGCAATCCTCTCCGACGTCGATCCCCTCCGATAGATCTCTCCGGCGGAGAGACGGAGAGAGGCGCAGATCCGCAGATCCGTGCGAGACGGACGGATGGACCAGGTGCCGATATCTCGTCCCTGCGGATCTCGCAGCCACGTGTACATATATACAAGTTTTAACACGTATATTCACCTATGTATGGGATATAGCGCGAGATTGGAAGATTCGACCGCGGATAGATGTAACAACGGAACGACCAAATCTCTAAGTGCACGAGGACTTTATCAGATACGAAAGCGTTGATAAGCTTGCTCGAATTCTTCTGAGCTGACTTCCGGCTCTATGTTGTTTCTATTTTCTATTTATTTCAGTTTACAATTAAAAGAAAGTCGGGCAAGTCGACAACGACTTCTGCATACACTACTTGATTAGATTTCATTATTTTATGTTATGAAGACATTACAATGATTATAATATTTTGTAATAATATATCTGTTTTTGCATATGTTGCGTGCGTTTATTAGAAAATGGGATTATGAGATGTAAATTTTATACAAACTCTTACATTGCCACAGACATATTTTGTGTATCTTGAAAAATAAAGAAATTTTTTATTTTACTAAAAAATTGTTAAGTTATTGAATATAAATAAGTATGCATCATCATTTTTTAATATATTTTTATTGTGCAGCTTGGATGTTATCTTACTGCTGTCTTTTATCGTTTTATTTCTTTTACAATTTAAAAAATTTGTTTTAAGTTTGTGCTTGTTTTTTTGTTTCTAACTTTCTATTTTTTTTTTCAGATTTAATTTGGATTACTTTACTTTGCTTCAGTGTATTCGACACCCGTTCTGCGCCTTGGGTAAGTAGCTCTCTTGTTAAAAGTCATTCTTTTAATATATTCCATAAAATTCTTGCGCCGTCGGACAATGAGTAGACACGTTACGGGCATGTATAACCCGGATTGACGCCGATCCATGGGAACTTCGCGAAATACCGGATACCCGCCTGCTCGCCAGTATTGTCGGACCTGTGTTTTCGAGGGGATTGGATTTTTCGATTTAGGGTGCATGCAGACGCCTATACCTCGTTCCTCGTTCGGTACCGATTGCTATTCCACACGCGGACTCGAATTTAACGCTGTAAAACAGACGTTATCCCACGATTACGAGCACGAATACATAGAAGAAGCTGAAAAAATGTGCAAAAGCTTAAAGTTAACCAGCGGTCGTTTTTATTGTTGACATTTGCAAGATAATTGAAATTTTTAGATTTTTTAAAAGTAAAAAAGACGAAGAAACCAACGCGCACTTTACGGATTTGCACGGAACATTAGTTTTTATTAAAACACATAAGCGTTTTTATAAAGAAATTAAAAAGAAATGTTTCATAAAGAAACAATCTCTTTAGCCTCTTAGGAACTGATGTCTTTAGATATGTAAAAATAATCGTTCGCCAAGAACGTAGGACGCCCATTTCCGGCGCGTTTGGCGCGAGCGTTACGAAACATCGAATCAGAGGACGGTTGTAACGCGGTAACGACCGTGAGGCTATAACCATTGTCGGAGGACGAGAAAAAGACCCTGGGGAGCGCGGGTGCGTGCCATCGTTCCTCGCCCTAACAAGGCTCCCCGTTGCGTGCAGAAGCGGCCGCGCATCAAGCCACGCTAAACTAAAACTCCCTTTTGCCTTCACGACCACCCTCGGCTCGCCTACGCCAACCCCTTGCCGACCACCCTTGCGTCAGTATCGATGGTCCTAGAAAACGGTCTCACCTCAATGCTAATAACGCGCTGATAGTACGAGCAACACGCGGTCGCTCCCACAGGATCGAGGCAGACTCTCCCTTCCTTGATACGTCATCACGATCCGTTCACCCCTTTTTACGACACTTCCTCTCCTCCCACGATATGACTTATGTCCACGGACGACGTCGTTTCGCAACATAATCGCGCCGTGTTGAAAATCTAGCCTTGCGCCTCGTCCCTCTCGTTGCGTAATGGTCGTCGACGAGCCGCGACGACCTACGGCGATCATCGACATCGAAACACGGAGGGTTCTATTACGAGGGGAACCACTTAATTTTCATGAGCTCGGATACGGACCCCTTTCCATGGGTGACGCTTCAACCGGAGGGATGTTGATCATTATGAAATAATAAAGTCTCGTAATGACGGCCTTTTGAACGAGTGACATCGAGTCTGCTAAGGGAAAACCCGCTGCGCGATAAATCGATAATTGCGTGCTTGAAAATGGCACATTTCTTCTAAATATACAGTGTCGAATATTTCAAGAATTAATTATGCAATGACATAATAAATTTTTCTATTATATAGCGTCGTTCCAAACATCTTACTTGAACTTTACACCGTCGTTTCTTTAATGAAATCTCCGGAAGCCAGTTTCAATGCAAATATCTTTCGCGTGAAATAACTAGAAATTAGATTAAATTATCTAAATTACAAACAAGATCGAGGAAATGGACTGAAAATTTCACCCGCTTTACGCGAATAACCTGCATTGCGTTGCCTGTAACAGAAATAATCTCGCAAATAGAGCTAAGTGCCAAAAGCACGTGGCGAATCACGTGGAAGACACTGATCTTTATCGCGATCCGCGGCTGTGGAAATGGCGTGTAACGACCGCCATTTCAGACATTCGGCGATAGTCCGAGGAGAAGCGTCGATTTCCATCGGTATATACATACTCGCACTTACACGTACACACATCCCCATCTGCGCGTGGTTAAATAGACGTGGACGGTGGAAGGGGTAGAGAGAAATAAAGATGGGTACCGGAACAGGTCGAAGGGCGGAGATTAAGGGTCGCCGAGGAGATGAGTTTGTTAAAAAGGCAGAAGCGGGCCAGCGGCACGCATCAGGGACATCAAAGCGACAAGACGAAATGAAATCCAACCGTTGCCACCCCGCACGGAGAATCTTCTCTTGCCGTGTCCTCGTTCTCGTTCCTTTATTCGCTCCCCCTTTCCTCGGAATCTTCGTCCCGCACGACTCGGTCTCTTTCTTTTTTATTCACTTCACCCCCGGTTTCTTCTTTTCACCTTCTCTTTCTCTCTGTTCACGTCGTGGTACTTCATATCCGTTCCGGTGCGAGTGGGCAAAGAAGGCGGAGAAAGCAAGGATAAGACCGGGGAGAACGCGGGAAGGACTGGGGTTGGAACCCTTTAAGGGAAGAGGAGGACGGTACGCCAAAGCGCCGTCCCTCTCGTAATTTCAGCGTCGTCGTTTCTAAGGCGCCGCTCATATTTTTTTGCGTTGGCATGCAGAGCAAAGTAATTAATCGCATATTCGTATTTCTGACCGTTGAGAAGAGCGCGAGTCCTCCTTATTATAACGTCGGCAAACAGCAGGACGCGAACTAAAGCTGAGACATTTTTAAGAAAATTTTAAAAGTAGTAAATCTGTAGCTATTTTTTTCTACAAGCAATGTTAATATTTCTTACAAGTCGCTTTTGCGGCGATGTTATTGTTACTGTGATAATGTTAAACTGCTTTCTCGAAAGTGCACCATCGAATGGATAATCGAATTGATACCGCTTTCGTAGTTTGAAGCGCAGTCCTTTGGTCGCAAACTTTTGAAAACTGCAGTCGCGCGGAAACCTCGCATACCCGTTACGAATCCATTCCGTGGCGCAATATTCTCTTCAAGCCTTCGGTTTATCGTGTAATTCGATTATGTAAAAAAAAAATTTCACGAAGATTCGCCAAGTTTTATCGTCGTCGTTGTCGTCGTCACGTGCCAATAAAAGTCGGCAGTTACTTCGCGAGATAAAGCTGGAAAAAGAGAGAGCGCTTTCTTCTTTCCGCTCTATTCAAATTTCCTGCACGGGAATACGATCGAATCATAAATATGTATCCGCTCGTATTCCCTAAATTCATGGAAATTCTTTAATTGAGTTATTTTGGTTTTCCGCGAAGCGATGCGCCGTCGGAACGAAGCGAATAGTCCGCGGGAAAAGCCCTGTGGGAAGCACGCAGCTTCAAAATCTTCTTAGACGGTAGTAACTTTGGATTGACGCGGCACTAAGATAGTATTATTTAACAATATATAATTTAACGCAGGGCCGGAATTTGTTTCATGAAATATATGTCAACAACAAATATCATCATATTATCATAATTTAATAGCATTATGTATTTATAAATCGCATAATTTTTGAAAACTTAAATAGATTTTGAAAAATCTTCGTATATTTTGCGCACTCAGGACAAGTAAAAAATAATTAAATATGTATAATAATAAGTAATGCAATTTTTACATCATTTATTTAAGTACTATTTTATACATATTTTTATTTTTAGAGTTTATTATATGTTGCGCTATTATTCACTTGGGTTGTTCACTTCGAACTTCTTCGAGAAAAGGAGACGCGTGGCGTCTGGTCGGTCGTAAGCTCTCGAGGGCAAGTTAGTTGATGGCATTCCGCGAGTATCCTCGTGACATTTTAATATCTCTAGCGCGAAAGGGTTAGCACGCGTAAGAGGCAGCGATGTGAACACAGGAAGGGACCGGAGTCGCTGACGACGGCGACGAGAAAGAAGAGAAAGTAACGGGAGGGGCTTGAAAGAGCAAGCGAGCCTGAGCTTGTATCAAGTTTGTCTAATGACTTGTTGCCAGCAGAACTGTGTCGTAACGGGGCCACCGATAAGTGGCAGCGGGTGTCGTATCTATGCGTAAGCAGTTTCCAAGGGATTGCTTACACAGAGACGAGGAAAGATAGATATAGGCTTGCTCGGGTTACGTACGGCTGCACCTTTATCCGACAACTCTAAAGGCCAGCACTAATAATACTGTGTTTATTCTGCATGCGCATTTCGTAACACTGAAATGAGTGAAAATATATCTCATTTAAAAATTGTTTTTCTTATAACAATAGAAATATCGATTTATAAAGATTACTATCTTTATAATTGCGCCCTCATGCAATCATTGTTTTCAGATTGCATTGCATTGTGTTTACAGAAAGGTGATATTTTTATCGCCTTTCTTGTAAGCCGGCTTCCTCTTTCTCTTCTCTTCTTCACCGCCATTGTAGCCCCTATGCTAGATATCTACGCGTCTCTATAGCAACACATCGCCACCACAGGCAGACAAGAGAGCGGTACACACACATTTATGTCGTTAGGAGCATGCGTAGACCTACTTGCCGGATATTACATGTGGAATGGCCTAGTTTAAGAAATCGTTGCGAAAAGATGTATAAAGATAAACTATTTTGTCGCGTAAAATCATGGAAAGCAAATGCGAAAAGATCAATTTTAACTACGTACTTTTTGAACAGATAAGTAATATAAGCATTTTTCATTTGCGTGAATAATATGTCTTTAAAAATTATCCTGCATTATTAAATTTGTGCATTAAAAAGTATCTACCTAATAACAAATGCAATGTGGTAAGTTAACAACAAAGAATGAAGTAACTCGAATAAATGCATGTGAAATAAGGCGGCTTTAAAAATCGCAGAATAACAATTTTTGCCTCATTACGTTCTTAGTTTGTCCCACATTATATTTACTCGCATCTTTAATTTGCGCAATAAAAATGCTTTTTTTTCTTTTTCATTGCTTATTGCGTTGATATTGCGTTTCGTTGTGTCATATTGCATTTTTCTCGCCGCTTGTGGACGCAGCAGAGTATAACTAATGCGTTGTCAATTGTGAAATCGCGGCAATATTAGGCAACTTACGCAAAATGCCGCGTGCTTGTAACACCCGTAAATGGCGTGGTGTAGGTCGAACAGCGTTGAGGGGAAAAGCCCCCCCTGATGAATTGTCCGCACGTGTCTACCCACGTACCGCCGCCTAATTACATGCTGATCATAGTGACTACCTATACCGTCCC